AAAGAGATACAAGAATATGGAAAAGCAATTGGTCATTTTAAATCTTAGAAGTTATAAGAAAATTCTTAATAAAGAAAAGTAAAATACACGTGAAAGTCTTCATCCAAGTTTCATATTTTATTCATTTAACAAATTATCTTCAATGCATTGCCTATATATATTTTTGCCTGTTTTCCTATTGGTTTGTCTATGTTTCTTATAAATCTGGATGTGCTCTTTATATGCTTGAAATAGTAATCCTTTGTCATGTGTGTTACAAATTTTTTTCAACCTAGTATTTTTCTTTATACTTTTTTATATAGTAAAAGATTTTTGTCTTTAATTTTTATAGCAAAATATTTACATCTTTTATTTTTTATATTCTTGATTTACCCTTTTAGTTAAAAGGGTTATACATAGTCTCCTAAGCTTGCTTCTAAGATTTTGATAATTTTATTTTTTTACATTGAAGTTTTTAATCCATCTGGACTGGATGGCTATTCACAGAAGAGCAACTTCAAATGTATTAACCTATGAAATTATTATGAACCTAAATAGTACTCAGGGAAATGCAAATTAAAACAACCAGTGAGATGTTACTTCCACTTTAAGGAGTTGGCAAAAATTTAAGAGATCTTTTGCTAGTGGAGTTTGGCAGACCATGTACTCTTGCAAAATGGTTATATTAACTTATATTTCCATCAGCAATTCAGCAATATATATTTTAAATTTTTTAATAAAAATTTTAAAAACCTTTGACCCAGCAGTCTCACTTTTTGGAGTCTGCCCCAGAACAGAAATAACAGCATCAATGCAAAAAAATGCATAAATAAGGATGTTTATTAAAGTACTGCTTATAGAGACAAGCCCAACTGGAGACAAAGTAAATGCCAAATAATAGGGGAGTGGGTGAATAAGTTGATAGAGCCATACCATGAAACATGAGAGTAATTTTTTAGATGAATTGTACCTGCACACGTTGACTTCAAGATATTTCTACAATTTTTGATACGTAATTGCTTTATTACATACATGTATATGTAGAAAATTTCATTTTTGTCAAAGTAATGACCACATCCTCTATGTATATATGTGTGTATGTAGTTAAATGAGCATGGAAACAAGTATGGAAGAATATACACCAGGCTGTAAATACTGGGTACCTTGAAGGGAGGGAGAAAAGGAGAGGTGGTGAGCTAAGGGGCAGAGGGAAAGCTAGGAAAATAGGAAAATGTAAGTGCAGTATGAATGTTGTAAAACTATGTATTTGTGTGAACTTTTGATCACTGTGAATGAAGGGATGGTTTCCAGAAAGTTGATGGCAGTTATTTTAGATTTGTTGGAGAATCTAGTGTTTTTTGTTTGTTTTACTTTTCTGTGCTTTTCTGTTTTTTACTTTTTCTTTCCAGTGAGCA